GATTCCGGTAATTAGATTTTTATCGGTTTAATATAAAATAATAGATCCGGTAATTAGATTTTTATCGTTTTAATATAAAATAATAGGTTATTTCCAGGTAATGAAAATATTGGTAATTAAATTCTAATCAAACTGAAATAAAATTATTATTATAATAATAATAATATCGGTAATTAAATTGTTGATATTAAAATCATTATTTAATTAATATATTATAATATAATTAATAAATTATACTAAATGCATCACTTACCCATATGATGTTGTCTCCATGGTGGTATGAACATACTGACTGTATGTGATAAGGAAAACGTTAGACAACACCCATCAACTGTTTGTGAAAGATAGATTTGTATCAACTGTAGAATATGTATATCTGATTGTATATGTTGGGTGTCTCCCACTAAATACTATATTTTGTTAGGTGATAAGGAAAAAATGTTGACCGTTAGACAACGCCCTGGCAGATACATCATGCTGATAGAATGATAAGTTGTTATTTGAACTAATGTTAAATATTGATAAGAAAGTATTGACGCAACAAATAACTGATAGAGTACGGGTGTGTCACTACAGATGGTATCAACATACATGTGTATATGTATATATAGAGGAAGAAATAGTTTGAGTGTTATGTCAAAGTCATGGCTGCCTTTCAAGTAAACACTAGCACACCGGGTCAAATTTGGACCGACGATCTCAATACAGACTTAAACGGTAATCCTATCGCTATGGAGGAAAATTGGGAAGACCATATGCTGAGAAGGCTGACGATGGCTCCTAGAAAAAGGATCACCAACCTGAAGCTAACAAATTTTCTTCACGAGAATAAACGTTACATGAAAAAAGAGTTTGCTATGCCTAGCGAACGCATTTGTCATTACCTATTTGACAAAAAACAGCGGGTTGTTACCTTGTACACAACGGAATCTGGAGAGCCGCACAGTCTGGATGACCCCTGTCTGATCTTACCAGTTAAAGACTGGTTCTTATTCTACAATCATGTCTGGCCGGATATCCAGAATTCTAAACAGGAGCCGTTGTTTATCGCCGAGTGGGATTCTGAAAAACCGAACAATCGATTTCGAGTGGTTGGAAACAACTGTGAAAAGAATCCTAAAGACTGTATTTTCATATTCTTGTGCGATGACAAGACAAAGCTTCGTGAGCGTTCTGGTATAATACATGCTGATGAACATAACGAGCGATATGAAATGTTGCTCCCCATCCTCTGGCAAGACGTCAACAAGCTGTCTGAAATTTTTGCCACCATAAACCAATTGTTCAAATGGTGTGACATGAATGATCGATACAAGGATATTAAAGTTCAGCTGTTTCACCCCCAGAGGTCTGTGCGACGAGGGAGGGAACACTCCCAACTGTCTCCGCCCATCTACTACGAACATAAAAACCCATAATCAACAACTGTTCACCACAGTACTACAACATGTCTCAACAACTCTCTTCAGAATTTGGTATCTTCAAGCCTGAGGATATCAAAGCAATTCCTCCTGATGAAAACGCTTTGCCATGCTTTCCGAAATTCGGAACTTCTGCATTAGATCACGACTTACCATGCTTTGAGCTATTCAAATCTTCTGAACCGGACAACGATGAAAAAAACTGGCTGGATAAATTTTGCACCGAACTAGGATACCGTAACCTGACATACCTGACCAACAAGTACAAAAAAGATGACGATACAAAGTTTGACGTCACAGATGGATGTTTCTGCAGTTCCGGTTTCAAGATCATAAAAGCGCTGATCGCTGTGCTCATGCAACACATCATCAACGCTCAGCTGAAAAAGGAATGTGAGGGTTGTGCTATCGACCACCCCAGCCAGCTGCAACACTCCTGTCTGTTTGAACCCTCAGCATTCTACTTCGACTCTCACTTTGCAACACTCGTCAATAAACTGATCAAACCTGAGTTTCACACTGCTGTGTCACAGGCTATGCTGCGTGTTGGCTTAAAGTCACAACCTCAGACGATCCACGGAACAGCCCTGGGTATTCTACACGAATTGAGGAGCGAACCATTCATCGTTGCAAGACTGGAAGACATCAGAACCAAGATTCTGGACGACTCCTGTGAGAAAATCGTCAGTGACGCTGTCGATTTCTGGCACCGCAGTGGCTAGACCTCAAACCAGCTGAAAACACCACAATGGGAAACACATGTAAACCTAGCAAGATACTTGAAAACTTTTTATTAGAGTACTATAAAAATCAGTTAAATGGTCTTTTATGTAAAGTCATTAATGATTCCACGAATGATGATCGTTTATCACAATCCAAACGTGTGATGAATTTTAAAAAAGAAATGAATGTTATTAGAAGTATGAATAACTCATGGGACAATATGATTGATGTTTGTATTAATGCTAACGAACCATGTTCTATTATGATTAAAAGAGTTTTAGATGCTATGTCTGAAGTATCTGATCAGTTTGGAGTCGGTGATGTTCTCTGTATGTCTACCTATGTAACAGATGTATGCATTTCGTTGATTGCAAAAAATGATGATGATGATATATCTGAAATTGTTGAATCTATGGTCACTTACATTTTAGATAAAAACATGTCATCGTGTGTCCAATTTCTTTCTTACCTTGACCGCATGTAACCATTTTCTGATTGATGGCATGAATGTTTCCTCGCTTTAAATAAAAAAAGATTCGTACAAACAATGTTTTGCATTATTCTTTGACAACCATCGAAACAGGACCATGTCTGATATAATGAAGAAAGTTTATTACGACCCATCAAGCCCCGGTGCTTTAGGTGGTAAAAAACGTTTAAAAGATGCTGTGTTTAAGGAAACAGGAGTCCGTCTAAGCGATAAACAGGTATCGGGATGGTTGGCCGGGGAAGACGCTTACACTTTACATAAAACAGCACCCATAAAATACAAACGAAATAGAGTTGTGGTATATGGTATGGATACCCAATTTCAAGCCGATCTCGTTGATATGACGGCCTATTCTACGGAAAACGACGGTAATAAATTTATGCTAACTTGTATCGATGTATTCAGCAAGTATGCATGGAGTCGGGTGTTGAAGAATAAGAGTGGAGTCGAAGTTACTAAAGCGTTCGAGTCTATACTCGAAGAGGGTCGTGTCCCACGGAAATTACAGACTGATCAGGGAAAGGAATTTTTCAACAAACATTTTCAAGATCTTATGAAAAAATATGATATTAATCATTTTGCTACGGCTACTGATTTAAAGGCAAGCGTTGTGGAGCGATTTAATAGAACATTAAAAAGTAGAATGTGGCGATTTCTAACGGCCACTAATTCACGGCGTTACATCGATGTCTTACAAGACCTTATGACAGGATACAACAACAGTTATCACAAGACTATTAAGATGAGACCCATTGACGTCTGTAAAGAAAATGAAGCTACGGTGTTTCAAAACTCTTACGGTAACATAAAGATTCAGAAACCAGTGTTCAAATTTAAAGTCGGTGACGTGGTTAGGATTTCTAAAGTGAGAGGCCCCTTTGCCAAAGGTTACGAACAAAACTATACCGAAGAATTTTTTACCGTTTCTGAATGTATTCCACGCCAACCACCCGTCTACAAGCTCAAAGATTATGACGGAGATGTTATCGATGGAGTTTTTTATGAGCAAGAGATACAGAAAATATTTGTAAATAAAAACAAATCGTTCAAAGTGGAAAAGATTTTAGGCGAGAAAAAGCAAGGGAGGTCTACACTTGTTTTAGTGAAATGGTTAGGATGGCCATCGAAATTTAATAGCTATATCGACAAAAAAACCCTGGTAGACTTGCAAAAACCTTAAATTTCACATTTCCTTTCATGGCTATTTATTATTATACAAATCAAGCTATGGACAACAACGGGTTCTACGTTACGCTCCCGTGTAACGCTTCTTTATCCGTTTATCCAGAAAATCGTATATCTAGTTATAAGACTAATTTGTCTAAAACTATACACCTGAAAGGGGAATGGGAAGTAGCGCTCGCTGAAATTGAATATCCTAGAAGTTGGTATAATATTACAGACGATGATGGTATCTTCAACCTAAACATGTACCCTGACCATGATAATGAAGAGAAAAAAAAAAAACTAGTAGCAAATGTACAATCAGATCTACATGGTTTCTATGTTTCCAGGCGATATCAAATACCCGGAGGATACTATAAGGATATACCGGCTGTGATCAAAATGATAAACGATGCAATCAAACCATCAGGGATATTGTTTTACGATGAATTAAAAAATAAAATTAATCTGGTTGCAAAACCTAACATTTTTATAGGTTTCTATGAGAAACTAGGAGCTATATTAGGAGTGAGACCTGAAGAGGGACTAGGTCAAACGGCCTACCATGAAAAAGCTGATTTTACCAGGACCGTCAGCACATATGCACCTCATCAAGCCGACATCAAAGGTGGATTCTACACATTATATGTCTACACCGATATCATCGACTACCAATCAGTCGGTGATTCATATGTACCACTTTTAAGATGCGTACATATAACCGGTGAAAACAACGATATCGTCAGTGTCAGATACGACAAACCGCATTACGCATCGGTCAACAAATCGATCATCACGGACATAAACGTAGAAATAAAAGACGATCAAAACCGAGAGGTGAGATTTGCGTACGGTAAAGTTATTGTGAAGCTACATTTTAGACCGGTGAAACAGACGTCTCTTTAAAAATGCCTTATTACAATACACATCAAGGTGAAATCAGCGATTATGTCAACTACTACCAAAATCAAGCTGGGGGAGGCCTCCCGGGCTATGCAGGCGGTGGTGTCATGTACGGATCAGGTCTGGGAGGGTTATTTAGAGGTCTGTTTAGAATGGCTGTACCATTGTTAAAAAAAGGGTTCAACATCGCCAAGCCTCACTTGAAATCGGCTGCAAAAAACATAGCATCGGACGTAATTTCAAACGTGCTTTCAAGAAATCGTGACGAGAGACAACAAGACGGTTCAGGTCTTATGGTCATGGCCCGTAAGAGAATGTCTAAACCACCAGGGGTCAGGAGGCGTGGTCGTGCTATAAAGAAAAAGCCCACTGTCAAGAAAACTTCACTCACACGCAGGAAGCGTAAGAAGACTGTAAGACGGAATACCTTCGCTAAGAGAAACATAAACACCATTTTCTAACATGGCTCTACTCCATCGTATGTCCGGAGAGTGTATTAAGTCAGAGCTTGACTTATTTACAGTACCTTTAACACAGACGGCTATAGAAAAAAATACGTATGTTGAGGTACCTCCTCTATCAGCCATCTCGGATTCGTCACCTTTGGAGTTTTTTATAGCAGGCTCCGGTGAGGAATACATCGATCTAAATAACACATTGTTGCATCTGAGACTTAAAATCACAAAGCCTAATGGTGGTGAAATAGCAGATCCTGCAAAAGTCGGTTTAATCAATTACCCCGCCGCCACCATTTTCTCACAAGTCGACGTGAGTCTTGGAGATCGACTAATCTCTCAAAGCTCAAGCACCCACCCGTACCGATGTATCATCGAGAGTCTCATCAACTACGACAAAGACACGTTGGAATCAACATTCAGCGCCGGTCTCTTCTTCAAAGACACGGCTGGTCATATGGATGTCAAAGACCCCTTAGGCAATAATCAGGGTCTACTGAAAAGGTCAACATACACAAGCAGGAGTAAGATTGTTGATCTGATGGGGCCTATTCACAGCGATATTTTCTTTCAAGAAAAATTAATGCTCAATGGCGTCGATATAAAAATTCGTATGATCAGAGGTAAAGACGAGTTCTGTCTGATGAGGAGTGATGACGTAGCATATAAATTAAAAATTGTGTCTGCATCGCTATTTGTCAAGAAAGTATCAGTCGCACCGAACGTTCGACTGGCCCATGCTCAGGCTTTGCTATCCACCAACGCAAAGTACCCGATTGACAGGGTATGTCTGAAAAATTTCTCCATACCAGAAGGAGCACGAGTTTCAAATCAGGAAAATCTATTTTTGGGGACTTTACCGAAATCAATTGTCTTGGGGATGACCGATAACGATGCATTTACCGGTTCTTATGATAAAAACCCATTTGCGTTCAAACATTACGATTTGGAGTTCCTAGCCATCTACGTCGACGGACAACAAATTCCTGCTAAACCTCTACAGCCAAATTTTACAGACGGCTCAGTGGTACGAGAATTTTATCAACTCGTAACAGCTACCGGCAGACATCTTAAAAATCATGCACTGTCTATCAGCAGATCTGAATTTGCCAGGGGTTATTCTCTTTATGCATTCAACCTTACACCGGACGAAGACTGCGGTCAACACGTTTCTCTCATAAAGTCTGGAAATATCAGACTCGAAGCCCGTTTCAGACAGCCATTGCCAAATACCATAAACCTCATCATCTACTCAGTGTTTGACAGTATCATTGAGGTGTCTAACCGAAGACAGATTCTGGTTGATTACTATTAATCGGAAATGAACACCATTCAGCTAAACGCTATCATGGACAAAATTACATGTAACACCCATTTTCTCGGAACTCTGGCATCTGATCAACTACCTGAAAGACCGTTAACAAACTTACCATCGATGGTGATTATTAACACACACCCTTCAGAACTACCAGGGGAACACTGGCTAGCCGTTTATTTATCGGAAGATGGTGTCGGATGTTTCTTTGACAGTTTCGGTAACAAACCGGACAGTGATGGATTTCCAATAGCTATTAAAAACTTTTTAATGAGAAATAGTACAGTGACAAGATATTCTACAAAACGTGTCCAGGATTTTATGTCAAATGTGTGTGGTCAGCACTGTGTTTTTTTCTTGTATCATATGTCTATGGGTCGTGACTACAACTATGTGATGAATCTGTATAGTGAAAATTATGTTAAAAATGACAAAATGGTAGAACTTTTTGTGAAAAAACTAAAAGCTAATGTTTGCAGTGATAACATGTATTTGTGTAACCATTGTGTTCAGACCTGTATTTCTTCCATGATGTATAAATGAATTTAATGAGTAATAAAAAAAAAAACCTTACAATCATCATCTGTTTGTTGAATTTTATTTCAAGATAGTGATACACAAAACATAAAAAACATGAAACATGTTGACATTAAAAATGCATCCATCGACTCTTATCACGAGTAGGTGAAACAAACATCTCCTCTTCTAGTAGTTGTGTCCTTTGCTGATTTTTTCTCTTTTTACGCGTAGTTTTTTTAGTAGACAGAATCTCCTGATCATCGTCAATAGGGTTGTTTTTTAAACTAATAATCTTACTCCGAACTTGTTGGTTTGGTACAGTCGAAAAAGGTATGTTTAATTCTGCGCATGCTTGAAGAAACTCCGTCCATCCTTTAGGTCTTCGGTCATCTCGTACTTGTTGCGGAGCTGTAACGTTGTTTATTAAATCGAGCATGTGTGAACCAGGTATGGTTTTACCCTTAAACACAAACTCACCAGACTCGGACCAGGAGCTGAGATCTTTAGCTTTAGACATTTTGTCTAATATATACTTGCTGTTTTTCACACGTTTTGTCGGAACATTCTTTAGAACTTCAGACGTCACATCATCTTTTGACTTGTCTTCAGCATGTGTTTCGTCAGAGTTAACTTTATGTTCGTCTTCAGGGTTTGGTAGCGATAGCGTTAAAACACTACTCTCACGATCGCCTAGTTTAACAATTGTTAAATATCTGGTTAAGATGTTTGAGTAAAGTTTAACTTTTTCACGTTGATCCAAATCAGTCCTGAGTAAAATATTTCTAATAGCCGTATCAAGATCGTTCTCTACAACCTGTTGAATATTTTCACGAGCGCTTGTTGATTGTATTTTGTCCAGCTGATTCTGTGGTACGAGATACATTTTCTCTGCATACTCCATCCTTCAGCCCTGTCTAGAACCGATCAAACTTGAAATAAATGGTATAGCGACGCTTAGGAGCGGTAAAAGAAACCCGCCAGTCTGATTAAAGACCTTTTTCTTAGCTGCAATGTTGATTTTTTTATTAGCGAGGAATTTTATCGCAGCCCTCTTCTTTTTCAATTTTCTGTATTGTTGGTTGTTGATCGGTATAACTCCGTGTAGGATGTTGAGAGCGAGTTCGCAGAGAGCTAAAATGAGATCGTCAGATGCTGACTGGAGAATAAGTCGTCTTTGTTTAGCTGTAGATTTATGTAACATTTTTAATACAGGTAAATGTTTACATAGTCTCGCGGACATGGTTCCTTATCACGATCTTCTTTTTTTCTGGAGATAGACCACCTGACGATCTGAAAACAATCCTGTTCTGAGTCGAAATTGTTCAGGTGTTTTAGCTTTATAGTCGATCATGAGATACCCAAAAGGACTCTTGACGGCATCTTGATAACATTCCATAAAATATTTTGTGTTACCAGGATACATTTGACGCCCCAACACCGCTACTTGATTAGCATCACGGGGGTTTTTAAACAATATTAAATAATTTGTGTTCAAACTGATGGTTCTGCTGGATTTACCTTGAACAAACAAATTTTGCACGATAAGAATTGCAGAGAGATTACGATGATGAACGTATTGCGTGAAGACTTTTTCAATTTCGGAATTACCGCTTGCTTCTTTCATCATATCGTCGATAATCAACAAGTTTGTTTTATCACGGGGTAGTAGATGATCATCATTCAGACTCTGAGGTATACCTTCAATGAATTTAATGTCATACAATTTAAGCAATTCGTCATACAAAGGTTGCCAACAGTCATACAGGAAAACAACATTATCAATTTTTTTAGAAATCATATTTACAGCATTTTCCAATAGCATTTTTACAAAAAAGGACTTTCCAGAATTGGATGGTCCGCTTATGACACATGAAAACGGATGTTGAAGCCTGAAATCAAAATCAACCATTTCACGCATTCCTCTATACATTGAATTAAAAGCCATAAGGCAGAGTTGTGTAGTCGGGTAAAAGTCTTCGCTTGTTATACACCACCTTGAACTTTTTAACGACTGATTTGTTGTGGAGTGTGAGGTGTTTTTTATTCCTGACAATGTTGTCAGCTTGAGCTAAAATGTATCTAGAGTCATCGCCTGATGTAACATACCCATCAACCAGACCAATCAATGTGTCTAATCTTATCGTTTGGGAATTTTTAGCATTCAGAGTTATACCCTTAGCTTTCATACAGACTTTACCGGAAGCGGTACGGTAACCATACGACTTTGGTCCGCTGGAACAAAACTCGGTAATATAATCACCATCGCCTATTTCATCTGTCAAGTCCCCCAAATAATCACCCAGAGGTGGCATCCAGTCACCGGCCTTGGATACAAAAATAACACTATCTGTGTCAGAGTATAATAAACGATCGCCAAGTTTATCCATCAATTTGTACAATTCTAACCTCGCCCACGAAGTTGTGTACGCTCCTACGAATACGTTAATGTCACGAATAATGTGATGACTATCTTCGGTAGGGTGAAATTGGACTAACGCTACATCATCTGAGATGAAAGTAAAATATTTCAATGCATCAGTTTTACCGAAAACAATCGTGGTGAATTCTTCAGGGTCTCGTACAAGTTGCGTAACAGAATGCTGAGACTGCATCGCGAAACGTCCCCAAACGGCATTTAAAATTAGTTTGTTTATAGCCCTTTGGGCCGGGTTATGAGTGATCTGTGAAGGGTCAAGTTGAATCCCCTCTCTCTCATAGTATTTGCGAATGTATGTCTCTTTTTCAGAATCAGTGGTAACATTTGAAGGGTATCCGGATGCTTGTTGTTTTAAACGTAAAAACGTTTTAACGTATTCGCTAAACAACTTGTCTGACCTTTCAGGAAAATGCCAAACTTCGTCGACTTTGACCACGACATACCCTTTCTCAATCGCTTTTAAAAGTTCAACACTGACCCAACACCCACTAAGTGCCCTCTCATCATCCGTATGATTACATCTTGATGTTTGGTTTTCAGCGTGTGCGCATGTTCTGCATAACGGGAACATGAGTTTACCGCTGCATCTGTAAGGGAGGACCGGATGTAGTAATTTTCGGGGGGGATACACAGTTGCCTTAATAAGACCGTAATAATTTTCGATCGGCTGAAAGTCGTTGAAAATTATTTCGGGATGACCTATTGGATACGTCTTTGTACTCATAATAAAGGGATAGAGCGACGTAAAATCCAAATAAGAAATGGTCTCCCCCTCCCCCACTTTGTGATACAACTTATAAGCATTGGTACGACCTCCGAAAAGCGCATCTCTGGGTTTCAGTCTTTCAGGCGCCGAATAAGTGCTCATAAATTCTATCACTGAAGGGTCTGTTTGTTTCATTTTAGACCATTCGCATTCCCAGATAATCTCTACTTTCAAGCCATAAGCGTTTTGTAGAATTTCAATTTTTTCGTCAACTTGACGTCTGAGAACACCAAAGGGTACACCCGACATGGGGTGGAGTTTGTGAGGCTCATAACGGCATTGGTGAGCGTGAAATAGACACCCCAAAAAATCAAGGCCATACCTTGAATCGCCCTGTTCGTAGTAGCCGTCTAAAAAGTATTTACCAATTTGCATTTCACCATGATTCAGAGCATGATGAATGTCAACGTTTCTAGTCTTTTTTAAATACTCCAACCATTCAATCGAGACACTCGAGAATGTCTTATTTTGCCGAATGTAGGCATTTTCATGGGTTAGAGCAATAGTGTGGTCTTTCAGATAGTGTGTCTTGAAAATTCCCATACAACAACTAGGAAGAGTTGTGTAACTAAATGGATCGATTTGTGTACACTCTATGAACGATTCTCTGTATGTCATGCATGCTTCACGGAGCAAGACAACATCATTTACACCATATTGGCACAACTGTTCCTTGAAGTCGAAAACCTCCCCTGTAGTAGTAGCGTACCACGCATCGAACTTTGCCTGATCTTTTTCCGATAGGTTTTCGTAACCATAATACTTTTTGTCAGGATAAGGTCCTATGTAGTTCTCATTTTCTAATCTATTGAAATGATGCGGAAAGTAGCCTTTTTCTGTTGTGGTGAGATTTAATGCTGCCGGCATCTTAGACAGAGCCATCGGTATGAAGGATATGCTATCTATGTAGCGTTGCTTAAATGAAACATCGAACATGAAGATTAATTTACAACCTTTCATGATGATGTTCATTTGAAGACCTGCTTTACAAAAATATTCAAGAATTAGAAAGGAGTCAAATCCGGATGCGTTATGAGCTATGAAACAATAGCCTTCGTATTTGGGTTTTCTGAAATAATCGATCATTTTTTTCACACACTCAGACCCCCCGGCTACAAATCTTTCACCAGAAAATGTTATTGCGCAGACAAAATTTGCTACGTGTCTCCCATTTTCATAACGAGTCTCGAAATCGTAAAAGATGTGTTTATTCTGAGGGTCCTTGAGTGGTACTGTCTTAATGAAACACTCGTGTTCTCCACCAGGGACAAGATCTTC